GTGTCATTGACAATGACTTGTTTTACTCCATTTCCTACCATTGTACAGGTTATTTCACCCCATTCTCTACCCATCTCTACAGGTTATTTTACTGATTCCCTACCCATCTCTACAGGTTATTTTACTCCATTCCCTACCATTGCTACAGGTTATTTCACCCCATTCCCTACCCATCTCTACAGGTTATTTCACCAGGATTCCTACCCATCTCTACAGGTTATTTTACCCCATTCTCTACCCATCTACAGATTATTTTACCCCATTTCCTACCTATCTCTACATGTTATTTTACCCCATCTCTACGGGTTATTTTACCCCATTCTCTACCCATCTCTACAGGTTATTTTACCCCATTTCCTACCTATTTCTACAGGTTATTTTACCCCATTCCCTACCCATCTCTACAGGTTATTTTACCCCATTCTCTACCCATCTCTACAGGTTATTTTACCCCATTCCCTACCCATCTCCACAGGTTAATTTACCCGATTACCTACCCATCTCTACAGGTTATTTTACCCCATTCCCTACCCATCTCTACAGGTTATTTTACCCGATTCCCTACCCATCTCTACATGTTATTTTACCTCATTCCCTACCCAATTATTCAGGGTTGAGTTCAAAACACCAGAAAAGGTTTTCAAATCTTTCTGCCATTTTTGTTACGCCAGGGAGTCACTTCATAGCATTATTAGTTATTGCTACAAAATGTCCATTAAAAATGTCCATGAACGTTTTCCTGGGTGTATGCATCCAAAGTTTACCCTATTCTAAACCCATCTTTTATTAGCTCCGCTGTCGACTTTGTCGAGCGGAGCTTATCATATGAGTGATTGTCCGTCGTCGTCCGGTGTCGTCCGTCGTCGTCGTCCGTGTCAATGTTTTACTTTTTCGACATCTTCTTGAAAACTACAAGCCTGAATGCTTTGATACTTCGTGTATATGTACCTTGGGTAGACCTCTCTCAGATTTGTTCATTTCATGATGATATCTTCAATTCTTTAATTTTGGTGAATATTTTTGTCATTTTTGGTAAAAAGTGATATTTTTGACTTCTTGTTGAAAACCGCAAGTCCAATTGCTGTGATATTATATATATTGGTACTACATGTGAACCTCTCTCAGGTTTGTTCATTTCGTGATGATATCTTTAATTCTCTAATTTTAGTGAATATTTTTTTTATTTTTGGTAAAAAGTGATATTTTCAACTTCTTGTTAAAAACCGCAAGTCCAATTGCTTTGATATTAAATATATAGGTACTATATGTGGACCTCTCTCACATTTGTTCATTTTGTAGTGATATCTTCAATTCTCTAATTTTGGTGAATATATTTGTCATTTTTGGTAAAAAATGATATTTTTGACTTCTTGTTAAATACCGCAAGTCCATTTGCTTTGATATAACATATATAGGCACTACATGTGTACCTCTCTCAGATTTGTTCATTTTGTGATGATGTCTTCAATTCTCTAATTTTGGTGAATATTTTTGTAATTTTTGGTAAAAAGTGATATTTTCGACTTCTTGTTAAAAACCAATAGTTCAATTGCTTTGATATTATGTATATAGATACTACGTGTAGACTTTTCTCAGATTTGTTCATTTCGTGATGATATCTTCGATTCTTTAATTTTGGTGAATATTTTTGTCATTTTTGGTAAAAAGTGATATTTTCGACTTCTTGTTAAAAACTGTAAGTCCGATTGCTTCGATATTACATATATAGGTACTACATG